AGGAAATAACAAAGAGCATAATTCAAAAGGCAAGAGAAGTTGCAGTATGCTCTTGGATGAACAATAAAGAGCTCTCAATATGATAGTTATGCAGGACTATATTATATATATATTAGATGAACCCTTAATTAAGGTCACTGAAGATTTCTGTGAAACAGTACTAATCTTATGTTGGGTTGTACACACAATTTTTTTCGTGTGTGTGTGTGTGTGTGTGTGTGTGGGTGTGTGTAAAAGACAGGGAAGAAGTAATATAAAGTCAACAGAAAATGGAAATATACTTTTTAAAGTTTCTAATACTAGGAGAAGATATCACAGTATGTCTTTTAAATAAATTGTAATTCAAAGATATAGTATAAATCTTAGAACAAAAATTAAGATTAAACAATAGTCAGAAAATTAAATACTATTTAATTTGAAATTAAATGTTTCAAAACAATTGAACTAAGAAAAACTTTTCATGATAGCAAAGAAGTACTAAGAGTAAAACATAAGATGAATACTGGAATGGCAAATAAATGACCAGCACTTCTAACAGTTTGAGGATAGGATATTGCACAAAGTTCTAGTATATTGTGGACATGCATAATGACCATGACAGTTACTGGTGGCCAGGCATCACTTGTGGGACTGAGCTACAGCTGTTTCTTTGAAATCCACTCTGTACACTCAGATGGAATCATGACCCATAGGGTGGAAGAGAAGTCCATTTGTAGAGTGTGCTGATGGAAATATTTTGCTGCTGAACATAAAAGAATAACTGAAAGACTACTATTATATACCTCTTATTCTCCTGTGTTTGTTTGCCCTGTTTGGTGGGTTCTTTCCGTTCTCATTCATGGGGCTGTGATCATTTTGCTCCCTCTCTAGAACATCATTTAGTAGTCTGTAGACTTGGCTTTGTCATCATGAAATTCTCTAGTTGTTCATGGAAGTATTTCACTTCTCCATTATACTTGAAAGAGAGTTTTGCAGGGTATATCAGTCTGGGTTGGAATTTGTTTTCTTGGAAGACTTGAAGTACTTTGATCCATGCTCTTCTTGACTTGATGGTTTGTGAAGAGAAATCTGCCTTTATTCTGATGGGTTTTCCTCTAAATGTGCTCTGTTTCTTTTCTTTAGCGGCTTTTAGTATACTGTTCCTGTGCTGAATTTCTGGAATATTGATTATTATATGTCTGGGTGTGATTTTCATTGGATTGATGTTATTTGGAGTTCTATATGCTT